GAGGGGGGGGGGGGGGGATACAAGTGGACAAGCCCCCATGAATGAAGTTACGCCTGAAAATGCTTCTGGCTTCTATATATTTTCCATTTCTTGAATATCAAACTGAGTATAAGAGTTTGTATGCTTGTTGGGAAACTAAAGACGGTGCGGTTACGTCTTGCTCTTGGCCCCCATTTTCGTGGAATTTTCACTTCCCAGAATGTGGGTAAGTAATTCCTCAACCCACCTCCTCTTTCCTCCACCAAAATCCTGCTACCTCTTCTTTCATCTGTTTTTCCCATTCTCCAGCCACTTACAAACTATTAAAACACACTTTGAGAGGTCTACACCCTACAGCATACTTTGTGTAACTAAACAATGGCTTGTTAATAAAGCAAGATTTATTATAAATTTATTATATATATAAAAAATAAATAAATAAATTATGTGCTTCATTTTCAGCTCAACTTTAGACCCTCTGCTGTAATTACCTGTGGATTGCTGCAGGTAGGCACCTTTCCAAAGCTAATATCCCGTGCAAAGATGGGGCTGTGCTCACCTCCATGGCTGAAATAGATCTTAAACTTGGGCTGTCTGGAGTTCTGCTCCTTCCTTATTTTGAATGTGCAACCTTGAGCACCGCTCTCAACAATCTCACTCTCGGTCTCCATTTCTGAGATCGGGGCATGAAGATTTGGCATAGATCCGAGCCGTGAAGGAGCTCCTCTGGGCTGCATCGGCTGTGAGGTGCTCCTCTCAAGTTGGATCCGAGGGTACCGCACCAAGGGGCTGCCTTTAATATGTGTGATGCCCAAATCACTCACATCAGCCTGAGAAGTAGAGCTAGGGTGCCGTCCTTGGTCCTGTTGAAGTTGGAATACAAGTCTTTGTGTTCCAGGACCTCTGTCTGAGCTTTGCTGGACAGACCAACGGTGGCCATTCTGGCCATTCTCACTGTATGGCATGATCCTGTACCGCTGGACATCCAAGCCATCTGCGGATCTTCTTTGAATACAAAAGCCTCCAATGGTAATCCCTTGATTACTGGGTACACCCAAACTAGCATTACCATTTTGTCCATCACATGGCCGGATGCAAAAGACTTGCCTCTTAGGCTGGATGGGCTCAGTACCTGGTTGACATTGACCCACAGTTTGGCAGGACGGGGTTTCTCCTATGTGGTAAGCTGGAGGTGGAGGTAAGAGCCAGCTTTCACCAGGCTCAGTGTATGGGGGAGCTGGCTCCTCAGGGTACCCTGGAGGTGGATCAAAGGGCAATGCATCCTCTTGAGGTGCAGTTGTGCGTTGGAGAGATATCTGGACAGAGGTGCTCTTGGTCGTCCGTGGTTCAGTTTGACCCTGGAGCTGTGGGATGAACATGGAAGAGCTTCGCTTTAGAGAGGCATCCGAACAAGCACCCAATTCTGGGCTCTCAGAAAGTCCTTCGAAAGTCTGTGTATGGAACATCGTGGCCACTGTGCCACTGTAGCCACTCTCATCTCCGTCCTCCACTGTCCCATTCAGCTGCTCCAACTCCGGTGCAGTGTTACTGCGACCCGATCCAAAATACAACCGAAGCCGGTGAGACATTCTCCTGTCTGCCTTGATCTGTCTCTGTCCAGCTCTTGCTGGATCTGTCTCACCCACTGTTTAGTGTGTCTGATTCCCTTTTGCTCTCCCTCTCTCGGTCTTGCTCATCCACCCTCTTTCCTTTCTCTCTCTTTCCCTTACTCACAGACAGAGGCTGCGTTTCGTTTCACAGCTACCAGTGAAGCACTGCCAGGGAGCTTAAAAGTTCAACCCACAAACTTCAAGGAGAGAGAGAGAGAGCGCGCAAGTAAAAGCTGGAAAGAACGGGAGAGATGGGGAAATGAAAAAAAAAACTATCCCATGTGTCAAAGTGTTTGAGTTGAAGTCTGATAGCGACAGACAGCAGAAATAGCCCAAGTGGCAAGCTGCATTCCAGGCATGATTGGATAAGGACGCCTGGTGCTCTTGCAAGCAAAGGTGAGGGTAGGGTGGCCAAAGTCACATGATCCAGATGGCACCCACCCCCACTTCACGGTTAGACCCAAGCAGCACTCTCTCAGCTGCTACTGATCTGTCAGAAGGAACTAGACTGCCGGGGGTGGGATGAGAGAGAGAGGGATCACAGCTGACTCAGGAAACACTCTCCACAAGCTCATAATTCTTTGTGCTCATCCCACACCCTGGGCCAAGCCAAGTTGGGACATGGTGTTACCCACATCTCAAGCTGGTAAAAGAAGTATTTAGAATTACTTACTGCCAAAAATATCAGACAAAACAAAAACAAGTCACACACAACCTCATCACTCAGACCTGTATGGGTAAGCAGAAGTATTAGAGGTTTACCACTATTGTTAGAGACATTTTACAAGAAATACACAGGAAATGTCCATTTACTGGAAAAACACTAGAGCTTTTCATGTTTGGGCCTCTGTATAGACATGCAATATTTCCCATCAAACTTCTTAAGGGCTGGCATGGCTGAAATGTTCCGTCTCCATTTTTTTTTTAAATACTCAAGGGAAGTCTTAAACCACAAAACAGTCACTCTCTTTCAACACAGTAACAATGAATCAGGATGCAGCCTAGGGGCCATTTCATAAGAAGTAGAGAGAAATAAAATCTTCAATCATAACCACTCCTAAAACAAAAGCAACAAAGCAATTTACTTTACTTTGCACAACTTATCTTAACTCGAGGGTAATTTGAAAAACAAAATAATCATAATGCGTTTTCCTCAAAATGACTGGAAATATGATCAATCACTGATGACTGACAGCCACATTTATAATGTATAAGCCACAAGTCTGTGCTAAATGCTTCATAAAATCTGTTTGGGGTGAATAACGGTAAGTTTTTGTGCTGGCATTTGCTTTTGCTCCACAAACACAATCCACAAAATCTGAATGTTTAGATCAGTATACGGAACCCTCTGCCAACAGACATGCAAATATCATAATCAATTTGAAGCAGACTGCTGACAGGCTGAACAAGTTACTAAGGCCAATGTGAAAATCCAGAGAGATGACGCTGCACTGTGCATATTCAAACTCAAAGAGAGCTTTGTCTAAGTGAGAAAGACTGCATGTATATCACTAATGGAATAAAGGCCAACATCAGAATATTATATTAAAGGGGTCATATGATGCTGCTAAAAAGAACATAATTTCGTGTATTTGGTGTAATGAAATGTGTTTATGCGGTTTAAGGTTCAAAAAACACATTATTTTCAATATACTGTACATTATTGTTTCTCCTCTATGCCCTGCCTTTCTACACGTCGATTTTTACAAAGCTCATCGGTCTGAAAAAGTGAGGTGTGCTGTGATTGGCCAGCTATCCAGTGCGTTGTGATTGGCCGAATACCTCAAGCGTGTGACGGAAATGTTACGCCCCTCACCATATTATCATATGACCCCTTTAAAGAACTCATATTAAACGATTTTTTAACAATAATAAAAAATAAACAGAACAATTTGTAACACTGAGTTGCGCTTTACCAGAGCAATATTCTGAAGTCTCAGTTTTGTTTGCTTGTTTCATCATCTACTAGCCAGAAATCATAAGTACGATCGCTTCATGATGTAAATGTATCAATTCAAAGTATGGATTGCTATAAAAGGTAAATTAGATTTTATGAAGTAAAAATGACCACAAATGAGCAGCAACACCAGCCCGACATAAACCGTGAAGTCAGTGCAGTGTCTTATTGGATGGAGTGAGTGAGACAGACTCCAACTCAAAGAAAAGCCTTGATTGTGAGAGTGTGGGCGCTCTCTAAAGGGGGTATTGTTTTGGAGGGCACACATGCCCTGCAGTGGGTGAGCTGCGAACAAAGAACGGAGACATCATGGCGTAAGCATTAGTTTCACAGCACCAGGCATTCTGGGAATTGCGACAGAGGGCTTCCACAGTGCTACCTACACATACGACGACTTCACATATTATTTACTCAGCTAATATAAAGAACATTTCTTAAAAACCGACATTACATAAGCCTAAATAGCAAACATTTGGCTGAATGATGGCAAATCATTCAGAAGACACAGGGAAGAAAATAAAGAGATAAGAGAGGGATGGAAATAGACTGAGAGAGCATGTACGCGAGAGAGCGTGAAAATCATTCATTAAATCTGTGTCCAGTCAGTGGGACACCATCCATGCGCTCCCTCAGACTTATAAGGAAGACGCTCAGTTTCTGCTCAGCCCTGCACTGAAACTCTGCCAAATCCCATCACACAGGAGAGCCAACAACCTTTTCCCTGTGGACTGCAACAACTCATGCATCGCAGATTTACTGCAGTGCCTGGTCACAAACTGAACGCTATACTTACTGAGATTAACTGACAGTCATCAGCTCTACTTCAGATCCAAAACTACAAAATGCACTCAGTGGTTCTCAAATGGTTTTGCTTCAGGCTTCAGATTCTACATTGGACATCATTACAGTACCAAATCTATGTATCAAAGGAAAATATACGAAAATGTGCAAACATTATAAAAACGTTAGAGGAATTTCTCCTTTTTGAAAGTTGACGAGTGTTATTTGCATTTATCATTTTTCCCCTGCTTTTCACAATCTATTATTGTAACCTATTTGTGGGTTGCAACCCACCAGTTGAGAACCACTGTTTAAAAAGATGCAGTTGCACTGTAAACAGCTAATAATGCCTTAATTAACATGCATGACTGTAGTTTGCAAAACATTAGCATTTAGTATAGACCATATTTGGGGGATTTATGCTAAATTCAGACAACTGACTTGAGGGACGACTCTCTGCACAATAAACAGGATGCAAATTGGGCTCCAAAACTAAGTAACTGTTTAACTGCAGTCAGTCTGATTGATATAAATGAACTCTAAACTAGTTCTCACATCATCTCCCCATTAGAAACGCAAATGGTTTTGTACTAGAGCAGAATGTACCATAGGTACTGCATACCAAGCAAAGCAACTGAGCATTGTTGCCATGGGGACACTGACATTAGTTGCATAACAGTGAAATGTCTTTTATTGTCTCAATTAAATCATTTAATAATGTACCAATCAGTGCCTGTCAAACAACTAAATCTACAATGGGCCTTCAGGGCCGGAAAATAATAAAAACTTCTCCGCAGTCATTTTTCAGACTGCTCTAATGATTCTTTCGGAGGAACACTTGAGAGGTGCAAGCTATTTTCAGACAAAATAATGTTGTAATAAGGAGAGGAAGTGAAAACTGGAACACCAGTTAACACACAAGCTGAAACTAAGAAAGCACTGTATCACTGACAGAAATGACAAAAAAAGTGTCAAGAAAAATGTTAATTATATGGCTATATTATATTCAATATCAAAATGTAAAGCAAAAATTGCTCAATTTAGTATTTTATCCATTTGTAAGCGTCTTGTATTTTTAAAGTGTTGTGTTGTTACCTTAGCAACATTCTTGCTAGTTGCAAGTGCAAGTTGTTGCCCATGTGAAGTGTCCCACATAAGTCAATTTCGATGTTCTATGACAGTTATCGTACATGTAAACTATCCGTGGAGATAGGTGAGTGTTTTCAATTCTCAAAATCAGCGTGGGGGATTTTGGGATTGAAAGCAGGGAGAAAGTAGTGAGAATGTCAAAAAGTTGAGAAAAGCTCAATTTTACAAACTTTTTTTTTTTTTAAATGCCATGCAGCAGCCAATCACAGTAAAGTGAAGGTGATAACATTTGCCATAAGCATTTTGAAATCTGCCAACATTGCTGGAGTTTCTGGTGAATTTTAGTCCTGAGATCACACTGATAGACATTACATCTAATTAAAATTTCAATTTGCATGCATTTATTGTGGCAAAGCTATGGCTAAGTTAACAAATTGTCAATGTGTGTAGACAGGAACTTCGAAATCGACCAAGGCAGTTCACTAGATTTTGGAGCAGATTTACATGTGCTGAAGGTGGATCTTACCAGGCGGTTTTCATCAAACACCTCAAAAAGAAGCCTGTGGTTCTGTGGGCAGACCTGCAGACATGACAGAAGAACGAACGCAATGTTTTTGTGCAGCACTGTTGAAGAAATTAAATTATAAAAAAAAAAAAATAGCTACTAAACAAAAATACACATGCACACACACATTTCACAATCACATGCAAGCTAGCTAATTATCCGAAGCAGGCACTTGCAATGTGCAATTTACTGTAAAACCCTTTTGTTGGCAGGGTTGTTTTCTGAGATTCAGGTGACAAACCTGATTCTGGGGTGAATCTAGGTACTCTAATGAATACAGGGGGTCATTATCGTGGGCTTAGAATAGCATCTATAAATCACATCCGTGTGAATGGACTTCTAAATGAAGTAGCTCACAATCTTTCACTAGATCGTTTTACGCACAAGCAACATTACCGGCCATTGACATCACAAAATTACATGCTGCTTCTAATAATAGATTATTACAGTTGTGGTGGTGCTGAAACGTTAGGTATAAATAACAGATGTGCATTCTGAAATATAGTGACAACAGTGCACAAAGTGTTGATTTCTTAATAGCACTGGACAAAGTTAAGATTCAATAAAGAATAATCACAGATAAAAATTACAGTAGGGCACCTTCAAGTACAAAATCATTTGTAGTTTTCACAGCAGGTGAATTTCTGAATTACATGAGCCAGGTTTGGCTTACCTGGGGATAAACAAAAATAAATCAATAAATAATAGAAAAAGCAACTTACTCTGAAATAGAATTCCTCATTCCATTTGGGATTGAGAATCTAAAAAAGAATCAAAATCATGTTCATTTACACGTTTCTACATTCATTTCACACAACCGATACAAAATGAACTGATACAAAATTGTGCTTTTGCATTGTAAAGTTACAAAATCAGCCAATACCAATAGTTGAGTGTTTCTGCTTTTTTCTCTAACCTTTTAAAACCTTTTTTTTATTTCCTCATTTACTGACTTACAGGTGGGAAATAAAGCAAGGGTCTTCAACCGGGGGTCTGTGACTAAGAGATTACTAGAAAAATATTTGAATCTATCTATCAATCTATCAATCTATCTATCTATCTATCTATCTATCTATCTATCTATCTATCACACACATTAAAATAATTTATATCTGCAAACAACTAATGAATTGTGATTTTTATCTCAACATGTTTGTTATGATGCATAAATCTCAATTTTAACAATAAAAATAATATACAGGCAGTGATGCATGTGCAACAACAATAATGTGCATAGTTCTGATCTACCATCTTAACATAATATACACTTACATCGGTTTGCAAACAATTTTTCTTCCTTAAAACCAAATTACAAATCTACATCTTGTTTGCAAAACTCAACTCAAATTCAAGAATCAAACTGGAATTTAAAAGACATTCTTAATTAAATTCTAAATGATGATACTCACTTGGTAAGAAATTTAAGTAAGAAAGCCAGTAGGGTACCTAAAAAAAATTATTCTGATGGAGAAAGTGGATTGGATAATTTCATCCAACTACAGCAGTGACAAGTATCCCATTAACGTGATAAGATTTACAACACAAATGAAATTTAGAACAGAAGACCTTGGCTAATATTTACTATACTTGAATAAAATATTTTACGGTCGCTCACAAAGAAAGAAAAATAGAAGAGAGAGACAGAAAGAAGAGTGGGTGCTGACATTCAGACAGAGAGAGTGTACCGGATGTTGCATTGATCCTTTTAAGTGGAAGAAGAATTTAATCTTTAAGTCAACATAGCAGATTGATTGACAGCTTAATTTAAATGTCCTCAGAGGAGTACCTTAATAGATTTAAAGCAATGGAGAAACGAATATATGCAATAAAAACAAGTTAATGCGTTCCATTTTAACATTTTTGTTAAACCTTTAATACAGTTTATTAAAAGTTATTTTACCAATATAATCTGAGTAAACATTGAACTGAAAATTTTCAGAATTTCTTAGTAGCTTGTATATCACTCTTTTGTGTTAATGACAGCAGAACTGACAATAGCAATACCATATTCATGTTATCCAGCATTTGATTACCACAAAATAGTGCTGAATCTTAAATATTTCTAATTAATTTTACATTGTGAATCTCAGATTCTCAATGTGGTCTCAAAGTTACAGTAACACATTAAAATGTCATTTGCACAAAAACTCCTTGATTGGCAAGTCATAAACATACACGTATATACTGATATGATTCACACACACAGACATGCAGGATGCTGTAAATACATCTGATTTATTGGTCTGTGAACCATGTGCCAAAGCTTGTGAAAATACTTTGGGTTATTAAAGCGTAGAAACACACCCAGGTGTAAATTATACAGGAAGAATACAAAGTAATGACTGATGGAAGCTCTGGCCGATCTCAATATTTTTCAGCCTTTTAACCATATATAGATGCATATAAATGCTTTCCAGACTTTTAAC